TTGACTGACATGGATGGCATTCCCTTTTGAAAAAGCAATGGAAGTCAATGTAAAGTTATATGTAATCCAATGTAATATAAAGAAGATTATGATGATAATATAAATAAATAAATAAATAAATAAATAAATTTTCTTTCATGAGGGAATAAGACAGAGAAAGAGAGAGACAAGCACCTTCAAGAGGGTCTCATGCCATGATCCTTTCCCCAGCTTTCTCAGTAAGCCTTTGATAACAGCACATGTATGCCCAGCATGTAAAGGTTCACCAGGGAACAAACGCTAATCTTTCATTATTTGCATTTAATTGCCAGAGGGAGGACATGTGCTCTCTTTGCATTCACCAGAGGTAAAGAGAGAGAAAGCACCCTTCAATGGGATATAGTCATGCTACAATCTCTTCTCTCTCCCATCAGGATTTGGGCATGCACATACATGAGCTTGGCATGCTTTTTAAACCACTGGGGCCAGGATTCAAACTGCACTGTCATCTGTGTGATTCAATTCTCTTTACCACTAGGCTACAGGACCAGCCACCAATCTTTTATATAGTTCTAGAATGATGAAGTGGCACACTACCACTGTGCCACGCAGATGAGAGACCTTAATTCTTACCCAAAATTATTGGGTCATTGGAAAAGTCATGACACATTTTTGCATAGGAAAACATAAAACTGTATCATGACTTTTCAGATGACTCAAGAGAAATGATATTAGAATTTCAAATTCTATGCAAAGGCAATGAAAGACTATTTCTTTGTAAAGGGGACTTTACAGGAATCATGCCATGGATAACCCTCACCTCCATCTTCAACCCCAAATGGACTGGAGCTCCTCACCTCTTTCATGGAAAGCCTGAGGCTCCTGAATCTCTCTCTTGCATTGGTTCTCCAAGGGCTGCAGTGGGCTACCCAGAGACCTTAGTGCTCCCAAGGATGTTGTTTCCTTCCAGAACACTTCTTGGCCAGGAGCTGTGTCCTAGGAGTAACCAAGCACCAACACTAAGATACTGAGGATACACATGACAAAAACTCCTAGAGTAATGGAGAAGAACAGGAAAAATAGAAATTCGTTTAAATGATTAGAGAGAAAACAGGAGAAAAAGCCCTATGACATAGTGAACAACAGTGAATAAAGAATCTATAACCCAAAAGACAGAAATCATAAAACTGAGGGCTGAGTTAATGCCACTCAGCATGGCTTCTCTATTAACTTACAATGAATCAAACAAACAAAAACATCTAATTCTTTTTTTAGAGAAATTTTTGCTATAGGGTGCATGCACTCGCCAGAGAGACAGAGACAGAAAGCAAGAAATCACTGTCCAGGAGTGATGGCCACACCACAATCCCTTCTCTTCAATTCTCCTTTCAGGATTTTGGGCACATATACACACATGGCCAGTGTTGAGTTTCGAGCCTCCAGGTCCAGGACTCAAACCAAGGTTGGCCATGTGGGAGTCCAGCAACATAACCATTATGCCATCTGCTGGCCCCAAAGACACCTACTTCTTACCTTTTGCCTTGGTTCATCAAGTTCTTTCTCTAGTTCTTCCAGCATAGTCACAGCCTCCTCTACATTCTCTGGCTGATGCTCTTGCACCCAAGCCTGTAGCTCCTCAGGCAGGATGACCAGGAACTGTTCTAGTACCAGCAGTTCCAGGATCTGTTCCTTCGAGTGCACCTCTGGCCTCAGCCACCGATGACAAAGTTCCCGGAGCTGGTTCAGAGCCTCCCGGGGCCCAGTAGAGTCAGAGTAAACAAACTGCCTGAACTGCTGACGGAAGACCTCCTGGTTCCAGGGGTTACCTCGAAAGCCAAAGTTCTGCTCCACAGCATAATTCTCTTCTTTAACCTTCATAATGATAAGTCCTTCGTGTTCTTTTGGATCGTGGTAGGCCAAGGCTGTGACTTCTCCTGACATTCTTGGCAGAGACGGTCTGAAAAGCCTGCCCAGTTGAGGCAAGGAGGAGATGGAGATTTGTGTTTCAGAGATTCCTTTTGAATTTCAACTGTTCATGGAGCTCCTCGGGTGGACATTGCTCATGTCACAAGGGAAGACATGTGCTTGAAAAACAAATACAGGTTGTTGAAGACTAATTGCCAGAGTACTGTAAAGAAAGCTGACAAAAAGGAACTTTCGTATAACTGATAATATTTATAGATGACTTAGGATTTTTTCAAGATGTGAGACAGGAAATTTCTGTATAACCAAAATAAATTTGACTTTCAGTAATAGTGCTAGGGACAGTATTAGGGACAATACAGTACTGTGTATCACAGAGAGCAAGAAACACTGTATTATATTATCACATCCCAGAATTAAAACTACTACTTAACTGTGCACTAGCTAGATACTTAACATAAACTTTATACAGTTTTCCTAATGACTCTGCAAAGATTATCATAATTATGCCTAGTTTTCAAATGAGGCCACTGAGAAGCAAAAGCTGGCCAAAGAAACACAGCCAGTGAGAAGCAGAACTGAGCTCTGCAACCTAAGTTTGATGCTCTATCTACTATGCCTTGGTGCCTCCTAAAAGAAGGGAACTCACACTTAATAGACACCTACTACAGGGCAGCCACTTTACGAATACTATTTTTCCTCATTTGACAGATGAGGAAACTGAGGTTCTAGAAAGTAAAGTAATTTGAACAAGGCCCTAGGCGGGTAAACAGCAAAGTCAAGACATGAAGCCAGATTGCTCAAATAAAAAGAACTTGCTCTTTTTATTACAGAATGCTCAAGAAACTCTTGGCTGCACTTGATCTTAGCCAAAAGGCCGATACTATAAATTAGGAATGATGGAAGACATGTCAGGAACGGGTCATACAAAATAGTGAATGTACAAACAAGGAAATATTATTCTTGACTCATAGGTTCTGAAATAGCATAAAGAAAAAGGTAATCCATTTCTTCATCTATTCTTTAAACAAATAGTTGAACTAGGCAATGTATTAAACAGGAGTCTCAGAATTAAAAGGTCTATCTCAAGGGATTCATTTAGTATGAGAAAGTGACAGGAAAATGGACAAAGTATGATAACACAAAGAAAAGATGAGTGACCAAGACCAAAGAGACAGAGGCAGAAAATGCCAGTAAGAGCTGCCTGGAGGAGGCATCTTAGTAAAGTCTGATGAGTGAGTCAGGTGAATGCCTCACTGCTTCTGATGCAGCCAGAGTAAGACCCTGTGCCAGAGACTGTAGCACCGTGAAGGAACAGTGAGAGAGGAGGCACCCACAGGGGAACACCCCCACCAAGGGTCTAGAATTTGTGCTATAGAGTTTGCATTTGATTCAATGGCCACAGGGGTAGCTGGAGGACCTGTCTGCCTACCCAGGGATCAGAAATGGACAGGAGTCTGTTATAACCACCTGGGTGAGAGACACTGAGGTCCTAAGCTATGGAAGCCAAAAAGATGTAAAGACAGATTTGACAGGAGTGAAGGACACACTGGTCAGGCTTTACAAGAGGGAAGAGTCAAGAACTTAGGTTTCTGGCTGGTCCTGGTAACTAGATGGGGTATCATTCACTGGGGTATTCACCAAAAAAGTTAGGTCTGAGATGCCTACAAAAGCATTTCCTGAACTATGCTTTACCAGATGTTAATAGATTTTTCACACACACCTAAACACAGAGAAACCTGGGGATATTTTTCTTCCTAAATTAATTTTTTAGGACAAGATAAATACTAAATACATCTCTTTAGTACTAACGCGGTGACAATCAGCATGTAAATAAAACATATGACAGTGTATTGTCAGATTTGTACATGGACGTGTACATAGCATTTACCAAGGGTACTGGCACACTAACGTGTCTTTCACTTGGTGACTACTAGTGTATGTCTCCTGCCTCCTAATCTCAACGTTTGTAATATAATTTAATTATTATTGTAAATATTATGCCTCACCAACTTGTCTCCTTCAGGCATGAGGCTGAAGGAAGGTTTTAATCATGAAGAATCTTCTCTGCCCCTTTCTACCTCTACATCATAGTTCAATACAGCTAGCCTTAAGTCTTCCTCTAATTTCACTCTTTTTTACTTTGCTCGTAGGTAATCTCATTCTCACCTTTGGTTACCTTCCGTCTAGTCTAGACATCCCATCTGAGCTCCAAATCTATTTACTCACAGTTCCTCATTCCCTCTTAACTCCTTTTGAATTTCTCAAAAAGACCTCAGGCAGGGGCAGGCAGGTGGTATGGTGGTTAAGGGTGCTGGACTCCCCCATGGCTGACCACAGTTCAAGTTCTGGACCTGGCGGCTTATTTTCTCACTTTCTCTCTCTCTGTCCCTCTCTGGTCAAAATAAAAAATAAATAAAAGTTAAATAATTATTAAAAAAAAAAAAGATCTCAGTCAAACTCAGCACATTCATAACCAATACCTGATTTCTCCAACCCCAAACTATTCCTCTCCCAGTGGTCCCCTCTTAGGAAGTAGGAACATCCATTTGGCTGCAGCTCGAAACCTGGAAGCATTCCTACTATAGTCCTGTCTTTATTTAATGCAAATTCAAGTCCTGTGGATATTATTTCCTTTCTCCAGAATCTGCCACCACCATCTTCATCCCAGCAACTATCCTGTCCCACTGCACTATAACACACCAGCTGGTTTCCCCGACATCAACTTTTTCCCTCTCAGTCTGTCATATACATTGTAAGCAGAGTGATCTTTTCAAATTTTAAATCTGATCATGTTCCTCTCATCAGTTTTTTGTCTCTCTCTCTCTCTTTTTTTTTTTAAATCAAAGATATAAACCCTTCAGTCAAGATGAAGTTCTTTGACTTCATTCATCTTGCTTCCCCACACCACACCCCAGCCTGAGTAAGAATCTCAAGTGGGGTCCCAACTGTATTTGCAGGTGATTCTGATATGTACCCACGTAGCAAACCCAGGGCTAGTCAAGGAATTTTAAGAAATAAGGTTAAAGAGAACTGCATTTCCCTCCCTCAGAGCGTTTTTCTCATTTGGTCAGTATATATACTTTAGTAGGACTAATCAGTTAACGTCTTCTCCTTCACTAGACCATAAGCTACATCAATATCTTTGCCCACCATTGTATCGCCATTGCTCATCCCAATGCATGGGACATAGTATATGCTATATATGTATAAAAGAATGAGTGTCGTAGTCAAGGAAAAAGTGTTTCAAAGCAGTGGTCATCATTATCAAATGCTTGATAAGAATAGAAAAATGTCCCCATAGCACTTCTCATACTACAGGAAGGCGACCTAGCTCACAGAAATAGAACCAGCTAGAGGCCAGTAGAGGATGTGTTGGTTAAGGCACTAGACTCCCACATGGCCAACAATGGTTCAAGTCCCAGACCCACTAGCTTGAAAAACACGCCAAGGGCTTGTGCATGTGTGTGCCCCAAATCCTGAGAGGATAATGAACAAGGGATTGTTGCATGGCCATTCCCCCCCCCCCCCCGGGGGGGGGGGGGGTGATTTCTCACTTTTCCTCTCACTGTCTCCCTCCAGAGAGTACAGGTGCCCTATGGCAAAAACCTAAAGAAAGAAATAGCATCAGCTTTGGAATAGGTGACCCAATTTAGAATCATGGTATAGCTTCTTACTGGCTGTTTGGCATTAATCATCAACTAAGCCTGAGACTCCATTCCCCCTCCTAAAAACTGAGTTAATAATTAACATTGCAGAGTATTAAGAATTAAAAATAGGAGACCTTAAAAAAAAAAAAAAAAGAAATAGGAGACCTTATGGCCTGATGGGTAACGGCACTGAATCCCACATGGCAGACTGCATGGTTCAAGTTTCATCCCTGGCAGCTTGAAAAACACCACTGGCATGTGTGCATATGTGACCAAGATTCCAAGAGGATGGAGAAATGGAGGAGAAGGGACTATGGTGTAAACACATCTCATGGGGGGAAAGGGGTGACTTCTCCCTCTCCCTCTGTGTGTGTGTGTGTCTGGTGAGTACACACACTCTCTGGCAAAACAAAAAGCAAACAAAAAGCAAATTGGAAATAAAATAAAGTATTTGTACAGTGCTTGGTGCATTACAGATGTCTTTTTACTCTGGTGCTTTGGTTTCTAGGGCCTTATTGACACGGGAAAGACTGCCCCTCCAGAGCTAGCCAGAGCTAGCTGTGAGCATGCCTTTCATATGCAAACCAACTCATTCAGAGTTCCACTTCCCACTTCACACACAAGGCCACCTTTTCCCTTCCCTAATCACCTAATTCACCTGTCCTAACACCCCAGAGCCGACAAAATTTCTTACACTAGCCCGCCCTAAGCCAGCTTACCCTGCCTTTCCCTGGACCCAATAACGGTTCCTGCCCAATTTCCCTTCACTCCTTCTGCCTCCTAACAAATCCTGGTGCTTCCCCACATAGCCCAGCACAGGCCTTCCTTTAGTAACTGTGAATAACAAACTGTCTTTTCAAGAGGTGATCTGTTGTCCTTGGTATATCTGAGTAACTAAAAAAATGACATTTTAAAACGCTTAGGTCAGAGTAGGGACTCAGAACATAGTAGATATGGGACAAGAGATGGGCAAAGTCTACATCACAAGGCATGTAGAATACTTTATTGAGGAAACTTACCAGTCAGAGGTCAGTAAAAGCAAGCACAGGTCCTCTGATTGTCCCATCATTCCAAAGAAGGGAAGTCTGAAGAAAAGTGATGCTATGCTTCAGAGGGGAGCTCCCTCTATCTCTTTTAGTGCAAATGTGAGAAAGCAGCCTTGTGCCACCGCTTTGGACCACAAGTCCTAATTTTGTTGTCAGTTGACTAGTGAGCTGTCCAGGGAACAAGTTCCCAGTATGCAGGGTTGAGGGAGAGGTAGGAATCACTGAGCTTGGGTACAATCCCTGCCTCTGGAAGGTGGTGAGTCCTTGGGCCTAGCTAGCTCTTAGTCCAAGCAACCTAAAGCAAACCTCCAAGGCATTTTTGAACAATCCAGCTTGCTAGAACACTGCTGTAGTTAAAGTGTATCTGTATTAGAAGTCAATGTAACAGCTATTATGATGTACTTAATTTTAACAGAAAACACTGAGTCTTTATTAGAGTCAAGCACTGTCTACCTGTTTTCAATTCATTCATCTTCACAGCACTGAATGGTGTTAAGTTCCAAGGTTAACTGAAGAAAAACAGATGTGTAATTTGCCCTGGGTCATATGACTCCTAAGTGATGTAGTCTACACTGCTTTAAACCAAATAGTCTTTACTCCAGAGTCTATATTCTCCGATGCCTATACTGCTGAAATCACCCTTTAAACATCTGCATTCACCATAAAATCAAAGCACTCTTTAGAAGACCTGCGTTTTTCACACATTTACTCAATATTTATTGAGAGCCTATTTGTTCAGGTATTATGGTAGTGATGAGCAACGAGTCACAAAGACAGTGTCCTTGCAAGAATAGAACTTGTAAATACTAGAGAGAGGTGTACTTAAACAGAAAGCACACATAACTACCTGGTTTAATTGTGATAAAGACTACAAAGGAAGTAGGAGGTACTCCGAGAGTGACTGATAAAGGATCTCGCACAGACCGGGGATGTAAGTATGGCTGGCTGAGACCTGATCCAGAGCAAGCTCTGACCGCTTGAGACGTGACAGGGGAGAACCCATCGATGCATCGTGAGCCTCGACTCCTGAGCCTGCGGCCGGGTACACACCGAGCCCCGGGTAGGTGCGTGGGGGATCAACGAGCTGAAGGGCCGGTAGACCAGTAAGCGAATGGGCGGACCGACAAACGGATGAAAGGATGGACCGAAAGACTGATATGTGGCGCCCCGGAGAGGCGGGACCCCTTGGTAGACGCACAGGCTCTGCCGGTGGCGTTGAGGGAGCGGAGGAAGGGCAGCTGGGAGGGCTGCGGCCGTTCAGGGGCGGTTTCGGGAGCACCCAGGGCGGCGCTGCCGGACCGCCCCACTCCCCCTGGGCTCCGACAGCTGCCGGCACAGTCCCCAAAGCCGGAGCAGGAGAGCCTCGCGTCGCACGCGCGCCGGAAGTGAGGTCCCTCCCCTCTAGGAAGCCCGGAGGACTGCAGCTCTATGGCGAGCGAGCCACGCAGGGTGTCAAGTCTTGAGGGGCGTGCTGCGTCCTGGGAGATCGAGCGCTCCTCCGGGCTCACACCTGAGGTGTCACGATGATTGACGGGAGGCGACTGGAACGAGACTAGGAATGTCTATATATTATATACCCACACACACATGTATTATTAATCTAGTAAATATATAATATGTTTTAAGATGTATATTTATGTTTTTTTAACATTTATTTATATTTAAATTAGTACAATGTATGTTTTCCTCTTTCAGGGAAAACATTTATTAATGCCAGTATAGGTTTCCAAAAAAATACATAGGGGCCAGCAGGTGACATGGTGGTTAAGGGACTGGCTCCCACATAATCCACCACGATTCGAGACCCAGCATCTTAAAAATCACACCAGGCAGATGTGTATGCATGCCCAAAATCCCACGAATGGAGGAGAAGGAATTGTAGCATAGCCGTTCCCCCTATCCCATGGCTTTTTATTTCCCTCTCTGTCTCTCTCCAGTGTGCCTTATTGCAAATACCTAAAAAGAAAAGAAAAAGAAAAAGAAAAAATAGAACCTACAGTCTCTAGATTTTGGGAGGAAGAAGACCAATTCACACCCATCGCAAACATGCTTTCTTCAATGACAGTCCTAGTGTAGTGGGATACATAGCTAGAGAGAGACAGGACACTGAGGCTTTTGCAAGAAAAAGGCAATTTATTAGTGCCAACACTGGCAGATTTATGTTTAAAGGCTGAGCCCCGAATTTTCAAGGGCCCTTTCTTTTATTTATCCTAATGTTTTTGTATTTTTTATATGGTTATATGTACTTTTACATACTTTTGATTGGGTAACTTATATGATAAGAATTATGTACATATGCACTGGGCTACTGGGTTGTCAGGTAGGCAGGAGTACATGAAGTTAGAGAGTTGCTAAGTTGCTATGGAGACAGGGCTACATGGTCACTACAGGTTGCACATGGGTACTTGAATTTCAAGTATGCCTCATTATCTTTTTTAGTTGTGGAAGGCCCCTCTACCACATTACCCTTTGACATTTGGACTCTATTAGGATTAAAGAGTATTATTTTAGTTTAGGGGCCTGTATTATTTTTTAAAGAATTATTTTATTTAACATTATCTATTTACTTACTTTTTAAAAAATTTGACCAGGGAGGGACAAAGGGAGAAAGTGACAGGTGAGAGAGAGAGAGGGAAAGTGGGAAAGCAAGCCACCAGGTCCAGAACTCGAACCATCCTCAGCCATGTGGGAGTCCAGCGCCCTCAACCACCACACCACCTGTCGGCCCATAGGGGTCTGTATTTTTATAACCTTAGTTTATGTGTGTAGCTGCCTTTTTTGAAATTACGACCTCAGTCAGGTGAGAGACAAACTTCATAACCAGGGGAGCTAGGCATGGTAGGATTAGACAAGCTTTTAGAATTTACATAGTTTTAGGAAGGACAGTAAGCCCAATGGTTACTATGACACAGAGATTGAGGTAAGGCCTGTTTATATGTGTACTTATTATTGAGTCCATGTTTTTCTTTTTATAAGAGACTTTTATAATATATGGCATATATAGGATTTATGACATGTATAGGATTATTACACACATTTAAAAAAAAAAAAACTGCTACTGGTGAGTAGGGGTTAGAATTTGGGTCCAGTTAATTAACCATCTTTTATTTTGGAAATGTCAGACTTTAAACCATTTTTTATTTGGGAAATACTGTGGGTTAAAACAGGTTTATTGATTTCTTTGCTGACAAATAGAGTAGATTGTCTTCTTATGTTTACTGGTCTCTGAGGGTTTTTTTTGACAAGACAAATGGGTATGGTCAAGTAAGGTCTTAGTGACACTTTGGCCCTGTTGAGTAGTGTCATTGTGTATTTTATAGGATGGAATACCTGTATTTAAAAAGAAGGCTCAAATTAGAAGCACCTAGTAGTAATGAAACATCTTACCCACAGAAGAAACACAAATATAAATAGAGGCATTTTGCCCCAACTTTAGTCAGCTGGGACAATTTTGGCCAGTCTTATGGCAAGAACAAGGGCTAGGACTATGACAATAAACAATGACAAGAGGTAGTTTCATTTTAATAACAAAACTATCCAAAGACAAAAGAAGAGTAGGTTATAGATATGTTTATTTTGTTAGATGGTTGACTCTTTTAAGTTTTTGCTCTGCGTAGATTAGTCAACTTTTAGCATGACAAATGTAGGGCTATAGTCCTCCAGAGTCTCTGGGGTTGTGGCTTGCTTTTTCTAGATGATTAGTTGTTATGGTGTTTTGAGGTCAGAACTGCATTTTCAGGCCTAAGAAACCGTCTTTACTCTGCTGTGGTGAATTCAGGGACCACTTCAGCTACATCAGGGCTATGCAAGAGAGTGGAAGGATGAAGAAATGTCAGCTCAATGTAGTCTTGAGAGTCGTCCGGCTAAGGTAGGCCTCCTAGTGGAACTGTCTAACAAAAATTAGGGCCGGGGCCTCAGGAATTGCTATTTTGCCATTGGCAAACTTTTATTTACCTGAGAGGTCTTGAGCTTTTGAACCAAGTGCTCTTATGTAGTGAGGGATGGAGGTTTCATTTTGTTAATGGGCATGGAATAGCACTGTTGTTAGTGCCACTTCGCTCATCGTTTTTTTGGAATCTGTGGGCTTTGCCTATTGGTCTTCTCTGTGATTTTTTCCAACCACTATGGTGTTCTTATTTGTGGCCTCATAAAGGGGTTTTGCCATGAGGGAAAAATTGGGTATTTAGATTTAGTAAAATTTGTAGCCCTGAGAAATTTTTTAATTTGGCACCTGGTAGACAAAACTGGAATTGTGCAGATGGCTTGTATTTTTTCTGGGCTGAGTTGGCGCTTTCCTTGGGACAGGTGAAGTTTAAGATGTTTGATCCTTTCTTGGCAGATTTGGGCCTTTTGTTTGTTTGTTTGTTTTTTAATCTTGTAGTTAGCTTTCCATGAGAGGGAGAGGAGTTATTTGTTGTTGTGTTTGTGTGTGTGTATGTGTGTGTGTGTGTGTGTTTGTGTGTGTGCATGCAATTTATTTGTGTTTGGGATTTTTTGCCCAATAACAGGTTGTTTACGTACTAGAGTAGTACATAGCCATGTTGGTCTGCCTGGAGCGCTTTTAATTAGAGGCTAATGCAGTGCTAAAGATGACTGGAGAAATTTTGAATAGTGCATGGATCAAAAGTTTACTGGCCTTTGTTTATGGTTTTAGGGTGTTTTCATTGTAAGATGAAGATTGGTTGACTCTGAAAGGTCAGGCGAATTTAAAAGAAGGCATCCTCAGGACCAGCAGTTGGCGTAATGGCTGGACTCCTATGTAGTTGACTGTGGTTCAAGTCCCGGACACTGTGGCTTAAACTCATGCCGGGCGCAGACGCCAGGCGCATGTGTGTGCGTGCCGAAGATCCTGAGAGGAGAATGGAAAAGGGATTGTGGTGTGGCCATCCCCCCTGGGGGTGATTTCTTACTTTCTTTCTCTCTGTCTCTCTCTGTCTTTCTGGCAAGTGTACATGCCCTATAGCAAAAACCTCTCCATAAATAAATAAATAAATAAATAAATAAATAAATAAATAAAGACATCCTGTTATTAATGAGTCTAAATTGTTTCTTAATGTTTGTATGTGTGACTTATTCATTATAAAGATACTATGTCAGGGACAGGATGTAGGAAGTCTTGGCCAAAATGATTTGTTAATGTTTGTGCACATGACTCACCCCAAGCCTTATGGAAGGGATTTTGGAAATACGATAAAGTAGTTTGACTTTTGTCCTTAGTTTCTCCTCTTGGCAAAATATTATTTTTCTAAATGTATGTGTAGGCCACAAAATGGCAGATCCAAATGGCTCGTTTTTAGTAGTCAAGTTCCACGGCACTAGGAAGGCTCATTTTTAATAGTAGTCCATCCGTCATTCATTATTATGGGCAGCAGAGTCTTGGGAGAGGACATATCTGACTGGTTTAATAGTCAATTGTTTCAGAGTCAGGTCTCAAATTTTGGAGAAGATGTATACTACGAGCTTGTTAATTTATTATTATTATTATTATTATTATTATTTGGTATCTGACATAGTATTTACAGGTAATATACAGTGAAAATGTACCAACAAGTATTATTAAAGCTGTGAATACTATGTACTTAATAATATTGTAAATAGAGTCAGAGGGCATTAAAGTCTACTTAACTAAACAAAGTTTTATATATATTATTATATTTTTATTAGACTTCTAATTAATATATATATATATTTTGGAGAGGTTTTTGCTGTAAGGCATGTGCACTCTCCAGAAAAACAGAGAGAAACAGAAAGCGAGAAATCACTCCCCAGGGAGAATGGCCACACCACAATCCCTTCTCTTCCATTCTCCTCTCGGGATCTTGGACACACACGCGCACACGCCCAGCGTGCGTTTACGCCACCAGGTGCAGAACTCGAGCAGTGGTAGACTACATGGGAGTCCAGTAACATAGCCATTATGCCAACTGCTGGTCCCACAATATTATTTTATTAATAGTTACTTGACCTTTGTGGTAAATTTTATTAGCTGATTGTAAGATTGATACCAGTTTAGAGTCTAGCAAATTTGTTATTTTTTTTCCTAATAAAAAAATTGTATTTACTTAGAAGCATTCAGAATGTCAACAAAACAGCTGCAACTTTTTTTTCCCCCGCAATTACAGCGTGGTATTCAGTTAAGAGAACAATTATTTCGTATAAGCTGCATCAGAGACAACTGAAGATGAAAAACTACCATCCCCATATAAAACTAATTTATGCTGTGCACCAAAAAGAGCCTGCTTTAAATTTCCATGCCAACTTACTGTTCCAGGCAAGGCTAGTGGCTACTGAAAATACCACTAGGACAGGACTATCTAAAGACACATTTGGTAGTGTGTTAACCATACAAAAAAAGACACCATGCAGTTTAAAAACAAATCTTACACAGCTTTACATTTCTTTTTTTTTTTCTTTAAAAGGAGTGAGTTATATAGAGGAGAGTTAAATGCTTTATAGACAAGGTAAAAAAACTGCGCTAGAACCAACTTATTCATCATGTTCTTCATCTCC